TCACTGTGTGACCATGGAGAAATGAGATAACTTATCTAAAGTGCTTTGCAAACCTTAAAGTATTAGATAAATGTTAATTATTGTTATTATCATTTGTATTATTATTATTATTCACATTTCTCACAGAACTTCTTTGCATATGGAAATGATGTTTATTGATGGTTGTCAAGTTCATAATAATTGTTAAAAATTTTTTAAAATAAGAATATATACAAATGTGAATAAATTCATAAAGCACAAAACAGAGCCCTGATGAAGAACCTTTGGGTAAAGATCAATGAAGGGAATAAAAGAAATGATAGTGTCATAACCTGGACAGAAAAAAGAAATTGATGAGAATTTAGGAAATAGATTTGAAATCAAGCAGAGAGTTCTGATACTATGGTAATGGGGGACTTTTACTTTCTAGTTATCTCTCCCTCTCCCACCTTCTATGTCTCTTTCCCTCTTCCTCCCTCCCTCTTCTCCCCCTTCCTCTCTGTCTGTCTGTCTGTCTGTGTGTATGTGTGTGTGTATCTCCCTTTTTCTATCAAAAATAAAGCTGATGATCAATTCTTGATTTGTCTTAATGGTAATTTTACTCTTCAAAAAAAAAAATTGGAAGAAGCAACCAAGGAAACTGCTGTTCTGGACCTAAATCTGACCAATAAGTAGGAATACTTGGAACCTGGGGAGGATATGATTATTCTTCCCTACAACGAGTAACAGAGGAGAGGAAAGCCAGGCATAGATTGACAAACACCCTAGACTATGATAGAACAAATTTCAAAGAGTGGAGAGGAAGGATAAGTGGCATCCGTGACCTAAAACTCTAAAGGGGAAGTCTACTCTAAGGAAATGGGAAGCTCTCAAGAATAAAATTTAATGACACTAATGATTACAATGAGTAAGAAAAGGGGGAGCTATCTAAAGAGAGCCAGATGAACACAAAAGAAATTAATTGACCAATTTAGAGCTTTAAAAGGCTAGACACAAAGAGTACTTACTAAAAGATTAGCATCCACTTAAAGAATCCTCTGGTGGCGGGGTGCTAAGGATCTGTTCTTGGCCCTGTGCGCAACATTTTTATCAATGATTTGGATAAAGGAATGTTCTCTATTCAATCATTTTCAGTTGTGTCTGATTCTTCATGACCCCATTTGGCTTATTCTTGGCACAGATCCTGGAGTGGTTTGCCATTTCCTTCTCCTAGCTCATTTTACAGATGGGGAAACTGATGCAAACAGGGTTAAATAACTTGCCCAAGGTCACACAGCTAGTAAGTGTCTGAGGCCAGATTTAAATTCAGGTCCTCTGGACTCCAGAGCCGGAACTCTATCCACTGCACTACCTATTTATCAAATCTGAAGATGATACAAAGCTGAGAGGTATAACTAACACATTAGGTAACTCAGTCACCATCTAAACAGATTTCAACAGGTTAAAACAATGGGTCAAATCTAATAAGATCAAATTTAATAAAGATAAATATGAAGTACTTCACTTGGTTTCTAAAAATTCACTTCATAAATACAAGATCATCTGGTTAGATAACAGATCATTTGGAGAAGATCTAAGGGTCTGAGGAGTCTGCAAGTTCAGTGAAACAACAATGTTAATTGGAAGCCAAGGAAAAAAAAAACACTCTAATATAATCTTAGTCTTCATTAAGAGACATAATACACAGAATAAGCCCATATCTATAGCAATGTGTTCACAGATGTACCTGAGTATCCTGGCGCCTGGGGCAAATTCAGTTGGTCAGGGTTAGAGAGTGATGGAGGTAATTCAGTTATGGGCAACACATTTTAGGAAAGATACTGACAAACTTGGACAAGTCCAGAAAAGGACCACTAGGGTGCTGAGGGGCACTAGAGACCATGCCATACATCTACCAGTTGAAAGAACAAGGGGTGTTTAACTTAGAGAAGACTTAGACATGACATGTCTTTATATATTTAAAAATCTGTCATGCCCAGTGCACATAATAGGCACTTAATAAATGTTTATTGATGGATTGATGTGGAAGAGAAATTACATCTGTCTGGCCCTCAAAAAGCAGAAGTAGCAGCAATGGCAGTCACAGAGAGGAAGACATCATCTCCATGTAAGAAAAACTTCCCTATAAGCTGTCCACAAATGGATCAGGCTGTCTTATGAGACAGTAAGATAAACCCACCAACCCATAAGCATTTAATAAGAACCTACTGTATTCAAGGCACTGTGCTAGGCACTAGAGATAGAAAGGCAAAGAAACAATACCCGTTCTCAAGGAATTTTTATTCTAACAGGGGAGACAAATACATATTTATTTATACAGAATAAGTATAAGAAGAATGAATATAGTTACATACAAAATTAAATACAGGGTAGTTTACAGGGTAGGGAGATGGTGCAGTGGATTGAGCACCAGGCCTGGAATCAGGAAGACCTGAGTTCAAATATGGTCTCAGACACTAGCTGTGTGACCCTGGGCAAGTCACTTAACCCTATTTGCCTCAGATTCCTCATCAGTAAAATGAGCTGGAGAAGAAAATGATAAACTACTCCAGTATCTTTGCCAAGAACACTACAAATGTGGTCAGACATGACTGAACAACAACAACCAAAGTTTATGAGGGAGGGCTCTAGAAGAGCTCAGGAAAGGTTTTATGTAAAAGGTGGTGTTTGAGTTGCTTCCTTTTTTTTTCATTGTACAGTAAGTACTTTTAATGACATAACATTTCCATTTTTACAGATGAAATTACTAAAAGGCTTTTTGCTTTCAGAAATGTCTATGAAAGGATTTGCATTTCTGTCAGGTGTGAGATTAGAATTAAATTGGTATGCTTTATAATTAAAATCACAGATCAGCAAAATCAGATTATAAGGACTGAAGCTCGAGCTGCTTCTTGAAGGGAGAGGCGGGATTCTGCGAAGCAGAGGCAATGAGGAAGTGCATTCCAGGCATGGGGAACAGCCAGTGCAAAGGCACAGAGATGAGAGATGAGTATCATGTGTAAGGACAAAGAAGGTCAGTTAGACTGGATCATATATATAGTATGGGAGTGGTAGTAATTTACAATGAAGTTGGTAAAGATAAGTCAGGACAATGTCATGGAGAGCTTTAAAAAACCTAAGAGAGAAATTTGTATCTTATCCTAGAGGCAAAAGTGAGCCAGCCGAAATTTACTGAATAGGGGAGTCACATGATCGGATCTACACTAGAGTAAAACCACTTTGATGGCCATGTGAAGAATGGGCTGGAGTGGAGAGACCAAGTGAGGCCATTGCAATAATATAGGTGAAATATGTTCTACATGCGATTTCTGTTCAGGTAAAGCACGGACTGCAAGACCTCTGAGGTTCCATTTAATTTTGAAATTCTGTGGTGCAATGATGCACCTCCCCATCTGCCTTCATGATTTCCCCACCCCCCTATATACATGCCCACTACATCAGAATAACTTTTACCTTGCCTCAGACATTCTTATCCTTCCTCTTAAAAGGATAGAAAAGCCCAAATTAGGAATAATTCATTTTCTCCCTACTCTAGCAACAATTCTCATCATGCTGAATATGGCAAGGTCCTCATCCATCCCTTTCTTGGAAGCGTTTGATTTGATTACTCATCTGCTTTCAGAGGGCTTGGGGAGCTGCCAAGAAGAAGCCGGCAGCTCTCCAAGCCATGAAGTCTTATCAGCTATGTTTACATGTCAGAATGAAGCCTGGTTCCTTTGGTAGAGTTATACCAAAGTACCTCATTCCTTCCTGCTGAAGGAAGAAGGGAGATCACCTGGTCAGAGATTGCTCTCCCACTATCCTTGGGGCATCTCAAAGCAGTGTATTTCTGCTCACCAGCACAACAGCCTGAATCAAGATATTCTAAGGCCAGATGGGAAATCAATACATAAACATTTCCAAGCCAGGCCACCACCCAAAATCGATGGCGTTAGGTAGACACATGATTGAAGAGCAGATGTGACCTCTAGACTGCTGACAGCCACTACCAGCAGAACCTAATCCCTTTGTTTGGGGAGAGAAAGCTGTTACAGAGCACAGAGAAGCCAGGGTCCCCGGATCCCAATCCCAGCACATGTCCTGCTGGCTTCTGCTCAGTTTCCACAATCTCCTTTGCTTCCTGCTGTATGGTGGGTTGGAGGTTGGCTATAGAGAGTGAAACAGCTGCTGTGGCCTTGTAATCTTTTCTCTACAACAACCTTTTCCAAGAAGGCTATCATGAACTCCCAGGGATCTCAAAACTGAAAAGCTAAAAAAAATCCACCAGTGACTCCCTAAGCAATACAGTAAGCATGTGCCATGAGATTTAGCACCTTGGGGATCATCTAGTTCAGTGGCATCAAACTCAAATAGGAACAGATTGGCCACATATTGATTTAGAATATCACAAATGAACATTGTCTATGTTGTATTGTATGCTTATGCATTTCATTAAGCATTTCCCAAGTACATTTTAATCTGGCTCCTGCCGCACTCAGAAGTTTTGCACTGGTTCAGAGAGCAGCAGTTGACACCTCTGATGTAGTACATAGGTCCATCACTCGATCATCAAACCTAGAATTGGAAGAGGCTCTCTAGTCCAACCCCCATAAATCAAGGTCTATGCTGGCTAAGGGACTTGCCAAGGTGACACAGATAATAAGTGGCAAAGCTGGGATTTGAACCCAGTTCCTCTGACTCCAAATCTAGCATGCTTTCCCGTGAGCCACAGAGACTCCCTGAATACTCTTATTTTACAGATGAGGAACTCCCTCTGAGGTCACAAGCATATACAAGAATGAGAGGCAGAACTGGAACTTGAGTCCTCTGATTCCAAAGTTAATGCCCCTTCCACCGCACTAGAATCAAGGTGCTGGAACTCAGTCTTACCACTCCAACCTGCTTCCTCAGAGGAGCTGTGAACTCTTGCTGTGAACTAGCTGTTTCCATTCTAAAACACCAACACCTGCTTCCTCTATTTGACACTAAGGGTTACAAAAGTTAGTTGGTTCATTTCCTAAACATTGTAGTGATCCACTTACTCATTTTTCTCCAGGTCCAAGATGAGGTCTTTCCCTTCTGCGGTTATCCTGAGTTCAGCTTTGAGGGGATGCTGAAAACAATAAAGAAAGAATGTCAGCTCCCTGAGAGAAGGGCCTGGGTCCCACAGATGTTCAAGGCAGGGCAGAGCACAGAGGTTCAACACCAAGTGACAGTGAGCAAGAAAGGGACAGCTGGCTCCACAGCTGACCAAACTTCCTTAATAAAAAGTAGCCCAGACCAGCAACCACCAGAGCCTTCTATCCACCTTTTCCTGAAGGACGAAGGAAACATAAAACAAGAAATTCAGTCCAACAAAAGCTGCACCGTCGAGGTGCACAGGAGACCAGGGTTGTCAAGAGAAAATGTTAGAAAAGAGACAAGTTTTATTGTACTGAACGGCAAAGACAAGCATGTCTCACTAGGACAAAAAAGACCAAATCCCTCATTTGGCTGCAATATCTAAGCTTTGTATCTCTACCAGTGTCTACCGTATGTCACACGCGGTAGGTATTTAATGACTATTGGCTTTAAAATTCTAGGATTCCACAATTCTATGATTCTAAGTACTATGGCTAATTTTTGTTGTTGTTAAGACATTCTTAGTTGTATCTGATTCTTTGTGACCCCTTTTGGGGTCTTCTTGGTAAAGATGCTGCAGTAGTTTGCCATTTCCTTCTCTAACACATTTTACAGATGAGGAAACTGAGGCAAACAGGGTTGAGTGACTTGCCAGGGTCACACTGTTAGTATTGTACTATGCCTTCCTCATGGGGCTATCGTAAGGCTTACATGATATAATGGAGGCCCTTTGTAACCATAAAATTTTCAATCAATGACAGTTACTGTTAATTGTAATTATAAATAAAATATTATTAGCTGACACTGATTTGATATTTTATGTGATCAATGTTAGCTATTAATAATAATTATAAATAAGTATAGTATTCATAGCTGATTTGGCACTTTATGGCAACAGTTTTCATAAATAATTATAAATATTATTATTAATAATAGCTCACATTGATTTTATACTTTCTGGTTGTAAACAGCCTCACCTACGTTGTATCAGGTGAGCTTTAATAACCCATTGACAAGGTATAGTACAAGAAATACTTATTAAACACCTACTGTATGCAGGGCACTGAGCAGGGGCAAAGAACTGTCAGCTCAGAGGCTGGAGCACAGAGGCTATAAGAGGAAAAATATCAGATAGGAGGGGAGACAGGTTGATGGCACTGTGTTATGCGGGGGTGAATGCCAATTAAAGGAGCTCTACCCTATTTGATAAGGGGATAGGGAGTTACTGACTATCTTTAAACAGATACGGGGATAAGTACTATCTAAGCATCAGAAGGAATACTCTGGTAAGGATATATCAGGTATAGGTTGAAAGGTGGAAAGAACAGACCTGGGGAGAACTAGGAGGTTAATCACCATAGTTTGGAGCTAGCAATTTGTTTGGATGGTTCAAGTACCCAGTACTGAATCAAAGTCCATCATTCTTCCACTGTATCAAGTTCAGAAGAAGTAGCTGGAAAATACCTCAAACTATGATTACAAGGAACAAATAAGGGGTGAGAAACCTTTTACCATATATTATTCTAAATATATTTTATATCCATATCTCCATGTATATTATTCAGTTAATCAGACAAATGTAAAATATAAATTTTGTAGAAAAAAAATTAAGCCATATTTTATACAAGTAGCAATAAGTGGAATAATGAATGATTGTGCCTACAAGAGTTTGCCATTTCCTTCTCTAGCTCATTTTACATATGAGGAAACTAAGGCAAACAGTGTTGAGTGACTTTCCCAAGGTCACACTGTTAGTATGGTACTATGCCTTCCTCATGGGGTTATTGTAAGGCTTACATGATATAATGGAGGCCCTTTGTAGCCATAAAATGGTTACATATGTGTTTTGGTGCCATTATCTCAGCCCAGTATGGCAAATCTGACCTTTTGGGTCACCTGTCTACCCCCTCTGCAGCTATCAGTTCAGGCGATCATCTCTTTCCATCTAAATAATTACAATAGCATCTTTACTGGCCTCACTCGTTGAGTCCATCCCCTCTCCGGTCCATAAATTCCCCTGAGTAATCATGTTAATGATCACTATGATGAGGTCGTTCTATTATTCAAAAACCTTCAGTGTTTCCACACAGTCTAATACATAAAGGCCTGACCCCGACATCCAAGGCCTTGTACAATCTGGATCCAATTGATCTTTCCAGCCTGATTTCATACTACTACCCTTCATTTGTTCTGTGGACCACTTTCTGCCCTCTCTTCTCATCCTGCCCTCCCCTAGCTCCATGTCTTGGTTCATGCCAGAGACCATGTTTGGAATGGAACTCCACCACCACCACCACTACTACCCTACCCAATCTCCATCTGGTGAAGTCCCTCTTTTTCTTCAAGGCACAACTCAGAGATGCTGTCCCCTCCATGAAGCCTCCCTGATTGTTTTCTTCACACCAGATGAAAGCAATCTCTCCCTTCTCAAACATCTCACAGCACTCTGCCTGCCTTCCCTTGGATTCTATCTCATTGTATTTGTATTTTATGAGAATTACAGAATCTCAGAATTGGAAGGGACCACAAAGGCCATCTAATTCAACCTTTGCGCCCCTAACAAGTGGTCATGCCACATTTGCTTGACACAAATGCTCTACTGAGGCGAAACTCACCATTTTCTGAGGCAGTCCATTTCACTTGGGGATAACTCTAATTCTTAGAAAGCTTTTCCTGACATCTAGCTCAAACCTGTTACTCTTGAGCTTAAAATCATATCATCAAAGATCTTGAACCAAAAAGGACCTGAGAAATCACCTAGTACAATCTCTTTATGAGGGATGTGTGGAGACACAGAAATGTTAGTTAGGCAACTCACCCAAAGCTATCAATGAGCAGAACTGAGATTTGTACTCAGCTTACTGGTCCCCAAATTCAGGGCTCATTCCCATATGCCAACCAACCTGCCTCTCCCATTGTTCCTAATTTCCTTCTGGGACCAAATAGAAAAAACCTAATCCACAAGAAAGTGATTCATAAGCTTGAAAACAGCGACTACATTCTCCTCTACCCCCACCCTCCACTCCAAGTCTTCTTTTCTCTGGGCAAAACCTTCCCAGGTTCTTCAGATGATCCTTATATGAGAGGATTTTGAGACTCTTCATCATAATACCTATCCTTTTCTGGATATTTTAACTTATTTATGTCCTTCCAGATGTGACTTATTGGGCAGGATACAGTGGGGTTATCACCTCCTTCATTTTAGAACTATGCCTCTCTGCCCAAGATATGTTAATTGTTTTGACTGCCATGTCCCACTGTTGACTCCTGTTGTATGGGTTGGATCAGATAGCCACTGAGGTCTTTCACCTCCCAAATCCTGTGATTCTGTGATTCTCTGACCTTGCAATCCATTAAAACCCTCATATCTTTTCCAAACAAACTGCTATCTAGCCAACCCTCCCCCATCTCATATCTGTGAAGTTGACTTTTATAGCACAACTGCAAACTTATCCTAACTAAATTTAATCTTATTCAATTTAGTCCATCATCTTAGCCCGTTAATATCTTGTTGGATCTGGATTCTATGACCCTGTGTATTAGCCTTCCCTCCCAACTTGGATCATCTGACATTCTTTAAGCATGCCATTTATATCTTTATGCAAATTACTGATAAAAAAATGTTCAGCAGCACAGAGTTGAGGATGGCACTCCACTAAAGACCCTTCATGGTCTTTAAAATATAAAACCATTAATGATCACTCTTTGGTTCTGGCCATTCAACCAATTCTTAATCCTCTTAACTGTACTATTGTCCACTCTTTTAATCTTGTTCTTTAGGAGACTGAGGTCCTAAATCTGGGATTCTACAATGCCTTCTTCCCCTTGACCCCCATGACGTTGCTCCAACTTTGTCAAGTTATATTGCTGATAGATAAACTGTATCTACACACACATTCCCCTCATCTACCAGTCTAGCAACGCCAACAAAAACAAATGAGGTTAAGTTGACATGATCTATTCTAGATAAAGCTGTGCTGTTTCTTTCTCTTTTTTTCTGGATGTTTACAAACTATCCCTTTAATAATACATTCTAGAATTTTGCCAGAAACCAATGTCAGGCTCATTGGCTAAACTTTGCTGACTCTACTCTTCCTTCTTTTGAAAGTCAGGGTAACATTTGTTCTTCTCCAGTCCCACTCCAACTCTCCCATCTCCCATGAACTTTCAATGACTCAGCAATCATCTTTGCTGGTGCTTTTGCATTCCATGGGATGTAGTCCATCTGAGCCTAATGACATGAATTCATCCAAGGCAGCTAGATGTTCTCTATTATCTCCTGACTTATCCTAGGTTTTAACTCTCTAATAGCCACTTTTTGCTCTGCGCTTTCCAATGCAAAGATCATTCTTCTTGGTAGAGAAAACAGAAGCAAAATAAGAGTCATGTAATTCTATCTTTTCTCCATCATCCATAAGAATTTTCCCATCTAACCCAAGCAGAAGGTTTTTCCTCTTTTTTAATATTCTTTTCCCCAATGTAAGTGTTTTTTTTAAACCACATAATCCTATTTATTGCTCTAAGCATTGCTTTTGTACTTCAACTGAACTTTAAGACTCCTGATATTATTATTCCACAGGCTCATATAATGTTTTTTAATTCATCCTCCATTATATGATCTTGGTTCTGTTTTCTTAACATATTTTTATTAGAAATTAAGTTTGCCTGAGAGTTCTCTGTGCATCCACATTGTCTCTTTAAACAACCTTACACCCACCCTCTCTGTTCTATTCATTTTGAATAAGGCAGGCCTGCACAACATACAGCCCATGGCCCACCAAAGGATTTCAGGAAGTCTGCAAAAAATGTAAAGGATGTAAATACAGGCCTGCACAGCATATGACCCCAAGACCAGTGCCCATGGGCCATATTTGTGCAAGCCTGGAATAAGATACCCTTCTTGAGCCATATTCTACTCATGGGTCCCTTCCTTCCACCTGATAGTGATAGTTCTTAATGCATATTTTATATGTATCTGTATACATGTTCACC